AAATAAGATTATTGTTTTAGGACGGACAAAAATGATAAATAAAACTATTGTATAGGAACGGAGGGACTATCTTTTATATAGTAAAGTCTCTGTCACATGGGGCTTGCCTAGTGGACTTTTACATTGGATTTGTGTAATATATTATAAGTCGTAAGAGTATTTGTCATGTTAGGTAGATAATACATTTACTAGAAAAGAAAATAAATATTTTGTTATGAAACGAATCAAAATTAAAAAATGGATAATTTGTTATGAAATGGAGGAAGTATATAATATTAATACGCAGTATAAATTAAGAGAAAATAACAAAAATAATATTGTATCATATAATAATATTTGTGTAATATATTATAAATTGTAAAAATAATTTTAATATTAAGCTGATAATTCAATTACTAAAAAAAATTATACAAAATTGATAATTTATTAAGGAAGATGAGAAGTATTTATATATATATATATAAAGATCACTCTAAAATATTATTTAATTTAAAATATAAATAAAAAATTAAAATAATTTACAAACCAACAAAAGTTGACTTATTATTATTATTATTATTATTATTATTATTGTGTTATTATTTATGCTAAATTGTTATTGGACACTCCTTTCGTCTTCAATACTATCTAGGTTAATGTAGATACAAAATTTAGAAAGATTATAATTATTAATTTAGAAGTATATTAATATAAATATTTTTAATATAATACAAATAATTATAAATTAAATAATTTAATTAAAGTTAAAAAACTATATAAATTATAAAATTAAAAATATGATTAGAATGAATTATTTTTGAAAGAAAAGAAACATTTTGTAAGACGGATCAAAATTAAAATATGGAAAGAACGAAGTATATGCTTTTACAAAAAAAAAAATATTATATAAATATTCAATATAATATATTTAAATGAAAATAATGATATTGACAATTTTAAAAATTACTCCATCCGTCCCATCCCATGTAATATGAGTGTATTACAGTAGACACGGTTTAGGTAAAGTATAATTAGTAAGTAATTAAGAAGTGTATTAGTAAAAATAATTATAGGTTAAGATTAAAATAAGTAAATAGTTTAATTAAAATTAAAAAAATTATAAAATTTAAAATTTAAAATTTAAAATGCGATTAAAGTGTATAATTATATTTCTATAAATAAAAAAAATAAGTTATGTGGGATGGACAAAAATAAAAAATAGGGACAAATTATGTGAAATTGAGGGACTATACGTTAGGTGAACAGATTCTCTAATTTCTTGGATAAAGTGTGAGCAAGTTTGAAAAAGACCACATGTGTTTTTATTTTGTCAAATGATTAAGAAGAATATTTTTTTAGGTAAATGATTAAGTATATAAATCATATAAAAATAATAAATTTATGTAATATATTAATTTTTTTTTTTAAGAAATAGGCTTGTTACTTTTTAACACACTCGACAAGTTTGAAAGTAACTACTATATTTATTCGTAACGAATAGTAAATTTTTTAATTAAAATAATTATATAGTATGAAATAAATAGATATTAATATAATATTAATAAATATAAAATAAAATTCGGATTTAATATAAAAGTAGAAGTTTAATTTCATATTTTTGAAAAAAAAATAGTGAATAATAAAAATTACAGAAAAAGTTTACAAACAAACACAAATTTAAAATTAAAAATCCGAATAAACACCGCGACAAAAGGCAAAATATAAAAATGATTTTTACAAATATAAGAGGGAAAGTAAAATTTTAAATTTTTAAAATATAGAAAGAGATAGAGGCGACAAAACTTGAGCAATATAAATATGTAATGGAGTAAAAGCAGCATTGACTAAAACAATCATTCACACACTATACTATCATTTATTGAAAATATTTAATTTCAATCAATGATAAATACTTTTTATTAATTATTTTTATTCGATTTTATAACTAAATATAATAAAAATATTAATCATTTCGTCACGCATAATTTTTTTTTTATTTTTTTATTTTCGTCCGTCCTACATAATTAATTAATTAATTTATTTAATTTTAATTTAACTATTTAATTATCTTAGTTTTAATTTATAATTATTTTTATTAATATATTTTTTTAATTATTTACTAATTATATTTTATCTAAATTTTTATATCTACGTTAATACACTCATATTATATGAGATGGAAAGAATATACTCCCTCCGTCGCAATACAATAGTCTTGTTTACAATTTTTTGCTTTTTAAAACAATAGTTTCATTTTTATAAATAATCATATCACTATGAAACTACTCTTATTTTTTCATTATTATTACACAATTATCACTATTTTTTTACACTATTACATTTATAAAGGCAAAAAAATATCTTATCTATATATTTTATCCATTATCAATATAATATTAATATTTTTTAAATATCGTGTCAAACACAACCAATACTGTAGGATAATAAGATTATTATATATTATGGGGGTGAGTTCTAGAGTATTCCACAGCCAAAGGTGTACAAACGACAGCGGCTCCACATCGCAATCACACAGATCAAATGACGTGGCTCTTATCCATTACGTACACGTGGCAGATAACTGTGGCGCGTGCCTAGCTGTATTAGCGAGTTTGTAGGGTCCCCGTTTATTCTCTCTCCACTCTATTGGGTAATTACATTTTTACCCCTTTAATATCGCTCAGCAAAATTTTGTTGCCAAATCAAATTTTGAAAGACTTTTGTATCCCTGGATTATTATTGTTTGTATTTACACGTATATACTTCGTTTATACCGACTGAAAATATTATTTTTGTCTCATTAAATTTTTTTACTTTTTATTATAGTAAAAAATATCAAACATTAATGTAGAACACCAATATGCTACTTTAACTGTAATATATTTATTATACGTCGATTTTAAAATATCTTCAATTACTTTTTATTTTTTTTCTATAATCACAAACAATCTCCTTTAATACCATATTTTTCACTTTCTTTTCAAGTTTCCATCTATAGCATAGAACTAAAATCATCTACCATCATGTTTCATGTATTAATTGAAGGTGAACTTTTGAAGCACTATACTCTTGTGGAAGAATTCATATGATATTAATGGACTATAAAATAATACTAAGAATGTGTTTACTTTGTGAGATAGAATTATAATACATAGAATTGTTTTAATGAATTATATAATCGTATGATAAAATAATACGATGTTTACTTTAATAGATTATTGTATAAGATTATAATTTTTTTTTTTTAAATTACCCTCAATTATATGATAAAGTTAATATTAAATTAGCTATTAATAAAAATGGCAAAATAGTGTTCTTAATATTATTACTACTTGTATTATTGAATCCTATCTAGAAGAGAGATTAATAATATTTAATTATGCTTATGTCGGACTTTATTTAATTACGGGCTATAATAATAAATAGTAAACATGTGATTAAAATAAATAAAATAATATTATTCACCGTAAGTATAGAAAATAAACACACCCTAATAGTACAATACTTTTTTATTTTTCAAATTCTAATTATTTGAAATAATATCGAATGTAGAATAAATTCAATTACTTCTTTCAAATCTTCTTTGGGCCAACTACAAAACATACTGTACATAATAATAATAATAATAATAATAATAATAATAATAATAATAAATTCAATACGCACTATCACATAACGGCAGCGGATTCCTACATTATAAAATAAAATAATAATAATAATAATAATAAGTTTTTTAACATTAACAATATTGGTTCAACTTTAGAATTTATTGTTTTAAAAAATATCGCATCAACTATTATTATTTTTTTTTACAAATTATTTTATTTAATACTAAGTTTTTACTATTTTCAAAATTTCAAAACTCCAAATTTTTTTGTTAGCGAATCACTAATATTAGAGGTAGGACTATAATGTGCTACAGCAATACACTCCGTCCTGTCTCGAGTCACATGATCCATTTGATTAGGACACCGTACTTTAGGTAATATAGATTTGTAAATAATTAATAATAAATTATGATATTATTTTATTATTTTTTTATATGGATAGTTTGTTGATATTTTAAATATTTTTATAATTATATCTCAATAAAATATATGTAATATGATATTATTTTGTATATAATAAAATTTTATATAATACAAATAAAAAAATATATTTATTTATTTATAATTAATTTAAAATTAATTTTATAAAAAAATAAAAGCTTTTAAATATAAATAAAAATATTTATATATTAGAGAAATAAAATAAAATTAAAGAATTTTAATGGATTTTAAAAAAATTAAAATTTAATTTAATTAATTTATATTTAATAAATATATTTAAAATAAATTAATTAAAAAAAACATAGAAATATGTCATCTTTTATTTATTTATTTTTAATAACCACAATTATAGTTTACACAAGAAACACGCCTTTCTGTATAAAATGACAAAATCCCGAAAGTTAAAACTAAAATAAAATAAATAAAATCGGTATAAAATAATCTGAGACCACATTAAAACCGCAGGAAGTACTCCTTGTTCTACCTAATTTGGCCATATTTTTTATTTTCGTTCGTAATTTGTTTTTTTTATTTTTTGAAAATATAATTATGCATTTTAATCGCATTTTAAATTTTAAATTTTATAATTTTTTAATTTTAATTAAACTATTTATTTATTTTAATATTAATTTATAATTATTTTTACTAAATAATAATTATTTTTACTAATATATTTCTTTATTACTTACTAATTATACTTTACTCAAATTTTTCTGTTTACAATAATATACTCATATTACATGAGACGGTGGAAGTAAACACTAGCAGCAGCTGACTGCCGACGACTGGCCACATCAAAGCTGTTGTCCATGCAAGGGGCAAAAGAGTAATTTCCTCCTGTCATTATCACCGGCCACAATTATTTCCCCCCAACCGGCAACCTGATCTCCCGGTTCCCGCCCCCTACCCCCACCCATCCCCCTCCCCATGCATTATCTCCTCCAATAAAAAGGCCTACAATGGCGTAACCTCGATTCATACATACATACAGAATTCTGTATCTATATATCCACCGCCGCCATGCCTCACCCCAACGAGTACTTCAACGTCCCCTTCCGCCGCCTCGCCGTCGGCAACCAGGATGAGTTCCGGCAGCCCAACGCCATTAAATCCGCCCTGGCCGAGTTCATAAGCACCCTCATCTTCGTCTTCGCCGGCTCCGGCTCCAGCATCGCCTTCAACAAGATCACCCACAATGGCGCCACCTCCCCCTCCGGCCTCATCGCCGCCGCCCTCGCCTACGGCCTCGCGCTCTTCGTCGCCGTCGCCATTTCCGCCAACATCTCCGGCGGCCACGTCAACCCCGCCGTCACCTTCGGCCTCTTCATCGGCGGCAACATCACTCTCTTCCGCGGCCTCCTCTACATCATCGCTCAGCTCCTCGGCGCCACCGTCGCCTGCCTCCTCCTCTCCTTCGTCACCGGACTCGTAAGATTTAAATTCCGCCGTCCGATCTAGGGTTTTTAGATTACTCAAACTTCACCGTCCGATTTAGGGTTTTTTTAATTTGGGGATTTTATCATTTACTTACAATCAGTCATCTCCCTCCTCCTTCTCTGCAGTCAGCTCCGGCGCTGACCGTCTCCGGCGAGTCGGTGTGGGCCGCCTTAGTGTTCGAGATCGTGATGACATTCGCGCTAGTCTACACAGTGTACTCCACCGCCGTCGACCCGAAGAAAGGCGAGATCGGAATCATCGCGCCGCTGGCCATCGGACTTATCGTGGCGGCGAACATCCTCGCCGGAGGGCCGTTCACCGGCGCGTCGATGAACCCGGCAGTGGCGTTCGGGCCTGCCCTGGTGTCATTCAACTGGACGGACCACTGGGTTTACTGGGCTGGGCCGTTGATCGGCGCCGGGCTCGCCGGCGTCGTCTACGAGGTCTTCTTCATCTCCAGCGCACCTGAACCGGTCTCGGAATACTAGACCGGACCGGGAGTTTGAACCGCCGGATTTTAATCGCTTTGTATTTGTACGGTCTGGATTTGTTGATGAGTATTTGCACCTTTCTGTGGTTTTCATTGGTCCATGTCAAATTAGTGTCTTATTTTTCTTGCTATGTATTTGCTTGTGTTACATTTTCTAGCTTCAATAATTTGCATTGATTCTTGCCCATATTTTTATTATTATTATTATTATTATTATTATTATTATTTTCTCTTTTGTCTTTTAACAATCTATTTATTTATTTTTTTTATTTTAGTCTGTCTCGTAATAGAGTATTTTTTCAATAAATGTATTATTTATATAATATTATAAATTTATTTTTAATTTATAATATATTACACAAATAATATTATTTTTATATTATATAATAATTAATAAAATTAATTTAGTTTTTTTATTTTTATTTTATTTTAATTATATTAATATTTTAAATTTTCGTAAAAAAAAAAAAATAACAAATAGATATGAGAATGATAATATTATTAATATTAGTATCATTAGTATAATGTTAATAATGGTACGTGTATTAATTGATTGAAACCAGTAATGATTATTTAAAAGTTGCATTAATTAATACGCAATTTTAATGGGCAACTTTTCAAAATGTTAAACACGTGATTGCAATAATTTTTGTGGACCTGACGTTTGTCCATTTCTCTTTATCTTCACAAACAAAGACACAATTACAGACAACTAATAACACTGTGCTCATCTGGATTTATTATTATTATTTTTTTTCTAAATGTATTTTTATATAAAAAAATTATATAATAAAAAAATCTTTTCTGAAGAAATTACTTCATCTGTTCGTCACTATAGATATAAGAATTTAAAAAAATTTTAATTACTAAATAATTTAAAATGTTTAAATAAAATAATTAAAATATAATACAAATAATAAGTTTAATTGAAATTTTAAAAATTATAAATTATTAAATTTAAAATATAATTAAAATATTCCCCTCTATCCCATATTGGATGTCGGTGTTACTATAAGCACGAAAATTTATGACAAGAGTAGTTAGTAAATAAGTAAGAATATATTATTATAAATAATTATTATACAATATAAATAATTATAAATTAAGATGAATAATCATTTTAAAAAAAAAGACATAAAATATAAGACGAACAGAAATAAAAACGTGGATATAGCAGGTGAAACGGAAAGAGAATATATTTATTTAAGAAAAAAAACATCAAATATAAGATATATAAAAGTAAAAAAAATATATATAATATTATATGTGAAATGAAGAAAAAGTTAAAATGACTTTGTGTATATAAGACCATTCTCTTATAACCTGAGTATAAAAAAAGTGTGTTTGTTTGAAGGTTTGGATTTTGGATCGAGATTTGAATAGTAAAAAATTTGAATTTGAATAGTTGTACGATGTGATATAAATATACATTGATACGATATTTTGAATGTAAAATTGATTTTTAATATAATATAAAAATAAAAGAAATAGATATTTGATTTGATATTTTTTGAAAATTTTTTTTTGTATGAATAGTAAAAATCCACACAAATTCTTCAAATAAACACAAATGTACCATATGTGTTTTCATTGTAATTATATTTTTCTAAAATACAATATATTCTCATAATATAAAAAATAATAAAATACAAAAATATTAAAAAAATATATATATATTTAAAAAATTATTTCGAGTAATGCTTTTATAATTTTTTATATTTCACGATAAAAATATCTAAAATTATAAATATGAATTGGCGGATAAATGGTGGAAAGATAGAAGGCTTATTTTCTATAAGCAGGCAGCAGAATCAACGCAGGGATTTGGTGTTACCTTTCAAAAATATTTTCTTTTTTCTTTTTGTTCTTTTTGGGATATAGCTGTATCTTGATTGGGACATTTCATACAAATACCACGTCATTGAATACAACCTTTGTTTACTTATATTTTCAGTTTTGTTTTTTTTATTAGAATGGCAAAAAAATTCATAATAACGAAAATGAAACTTAAATATATATACATATATATATTAATATATCGTTTTGTTAGGACTTCACTCTCCCGCGACAGATAAGCCGTTTTGTCGGGAATAGCTTAATAAGCTATGATAATATTTTATTATTTTTATATGAATAGTGTTGTTGGTATTTTAAATATTTTTATAATTATATTTCCATAAAATATATGCAATATGAATATTATTTTGAAGATAATAAAATTTTATATAATACTAATGAGTAAAAAATTATATTTATTTATTATTACCAACAATTAATTTTATAAAAAATGAGAGTTTTAAAGGTAGAAATAAGTAAATGGGTTTTGAGTGAATCCTATGTGTAATATGTTAAAAATTTAATCAAATTGATTTATATTTGTTAAGTATGTTTAATATTGATAAACTTACCAAAAATAGGAAAGACCATCTTTTGTAGAACGTAAAAAAAAAAAAAAAATGTGTCATTTGTGGTAGGCGACATATGGAGTATTATATATTGTCTTTTTTTATATATATATAACTTGAGAATTCGCAGCCGCTACCCGAAAATGCAGCACCGGGTAAACTTCCGAATGAACCTAATACCCTGCAAATTAGACACAACAAGAAAAGTCGCGTTAGGTGAACCATGTGTGGCATATGAACCTCATACATTTATAACCTTTTGACTTGTTTAAATAATTTGTATTTCAATTGTATTTGAATAAATATTATATATATTATAGAAAATTACAAAATTGCATTGTAAAGAAACTAAAATTAATTTTAAGTAATAGTCCTTCAAAGTATTGGGTTTGTTTGATTTTTATTTGAAATTGATGTTTTGATTTGAGTTTTTATACGTAGTATTTGATATAATATTTTGTCAAAAAAATAATATATTTTTATCCAAATATTATATAAAATACATATTATTATTATTATTATCATTATTATTATTACTATTATATTTTTTATTTTCAAAATAATTCCAAACCAAATACATTTCTAGTAACTAATAATTGAACACTCTTTTTTTAGTTATAATACTTTTGCCAGTCCCGTAAAGATAATTTGGTGGCGTGGGGTTATGGGTTCAAACTTCGATGCCTCCTTATTTTGCGTGTCACACATGGTACACTTAATGTGACTTGTTTTATTGGACCTAATTTACAAACTATTAGGTTCGACTGAGGGTTTATCCAAAGCGTACCCGAAGGATAGCGGCTGCGGGTTTCCACGTTATCAATAATATTGTCAATTTCGTAAGGAGTAGTATAGTAGTTTGAGAGGTAAACTTGTGACTGTGAGGTTATAAGTTTAAAATTCCTCAATACTACTTTATCTTGCATGTTACACATAGTTTGTCTAGTCAGACTATTAGATTCGACCAAAATTTTACTCAAAGCGCATTTGAAGAAACTTTTAACCTTATTTGCTGATCAAGGTTGAAGAACGATGAAGCTTATGTTCAGAGATATATCAAGATTGACGTTTGAGAATGTCCATGCATTCCATGCAAATATTAAGTTTTGTTTATCCACATTTATTGTGTATCAATATAGCACTATGACACCCCCGATCCGCAAGCGACACAAAGCCGAGTATGTCAGGATTGCAGACTGGCCTCACAGATCAACATGAGTATTTCCAGTGCGCTTCTGTCCTCACTCATGTACACCCTGGGAGACTTTCCTCACCCATCCTCACAGATTAACATGAGTCTTTCCAGTGCGCTTCTGTCCTCACTCATGTACACCCTGGGAGACTTTCCTCACCCATCCTCAAATTACTCTAGTGCAAGCACGCTTAACTACATAATTCTTTCAGTAGGACTTCCTAAAAGGAATGTACATATTGTTGATTGAGTAGTCTATTCAATCCATTTAACCTATATTCAACCTCGGGTGCTTTGCCACCGGCTCATCCACGAAAATTGGCCTAACACTGGCCCAACTTCAGGGGCATTACAACCACTACCTCTTCTTTCGATCAGAGCGCTACTGTTGATTCACGGATCCCCATAAGTGATTGATAGGGTTATGATCCTGCTCTTACTTTTGGTCCTAAAGACCATTTAGGTATGAATTTACATATGTGTACCCGATTGATTCCAATTTTCATGGAGTATTAATATATAAAAAACTTGGATTTCAAAATCAAAGGTTGGATATATAAATGGAACTCTTGTTATAATAATTCAATGAGTTCTTTCTAAAACTTGACATCCAACACCAAATTATATGTCCGTACACCCCTTAACAAAATGAAACAATTGAAAAGAAACATAGACATCCTCTATAGATAATTAAGTTTATACTTTTTTAAGTTAACTTCTCTCAAGAATTTTGAAAATTTTTTTTTCTTATAATCAAATTTTCTTATAAACGGTCTCCTTAATCTAGTTCTTAAATGGAAAACTCCATTTAAACTATTGTACACCAAACTTCCTTGCTACTTTACCATCAAAGTGTTTGTCTATTATTGTTATGGCATTAACACTCAGCCTACTAAAATTAAGTTAGATCAAATGCATTTAAATGTCTTTTTTTTTTTTTTTCTTTTTTTCTTTTTTTTTTAGAAAATTCATCTGCTCAAAAGGTATATAAAATGTATAATCTTGAATGTTGTTTTTTTTTTTATAAAGATATATTCTCTTTTGCAAAGAAATTGTAAAATCATCAACATGACTCTAGTTTTTCAACTTTATCATATACTTATTCATTTTTTAATATTATTTGATCATGTTCCCCCCTTACATAATGTTCATATCTATCCCTGTTCCAGCCTAAATCACATAAGTGAATCCTATTGTGGTTTATAATTCTCCACACGGGCAACTTGATCATCACATCATTTCAAAATTAGAATCAGAATCTCCTCTTCTTAATCCTTCTTATCATTTTTCTTTTTCAACCTTTAATGCTCGTAAATCATCAAATCCTTTCACATACACCATCTCCTAAACCTACATGAACTATACAACCACCAAGTTATTTTCAAGATAATATTTGGCCTACAATTCATGAGACTAGGGATACCATTTGGCATGATGCATTCAATGTTGTACTATTGGAACCTCATTCTTATAATCAATCTAGTAAAAATAAAATTTGGAGACAAGCCATGCAAAAATAAAAAAATAAAAATGTAATGCTCTTGAAAGAAATCAAATTTGGCATTTGATTGATCTATCTTTTGGAAAACG